GCTCACCTGGCTGGTGGGGGAGGGGAGCCCTCAGCACCCCTGCTCACCTGGCTGGTGGGGGAGGAGCTCAGGCCCAGGTGTGGTCAGGGCCGCTGACTGCAAAACAAATATAAACAGGGAAGGCTCTGACTCAGTCAGCTGAGGCTGCATAACAAAGACCACAGGCCTGAGGCTCCAACAACACACATTCTCTCCCCTGGTCCTGGGGGCTGGGAGTCTGAGCTCCAGGTGTGGGCGGGGCTGGTTCCTCCCGAGGCCTCTCCTCCTTGTGTCCTCACAGGGCAGTCCCTCTGTGTGTCTGTGTCCTAAACCCCGCCTCCTGCAAGGACACCGATCTTCTGAGGTCAGGGCCCACCCTAGTCACCTCACTGTACTGTAACCCCCTCTGTAAAGACCCCATCTCCAAATACAGCCACCTTCTGGGGCCCTGGGGGCTAGGGCCCCGGCGTATGCATTTGGAGGACAGTCTGTCCAGGCCCCAGGCCCGCAGACTGTGTCACTTCGCTTCCTAGCCCACGGCCGGGGAGGGGGGCGAGGGCTCACTGGCCCAGCGAGGCCCTGACGGCGGGGGGTGACAGTGGCCGACAGCTGGGAAAGTTGTCAAGCACAGGGATCCACGGCAACAGATAAGATTTCGCACACACGCACAGGCGTGTTTAGACACCAGAGGCAGATGCCGCCTGCAAAGCGCTGGACATCCTGCTTGCCTGGGTCGGTCCCAGGGTTTGTCTGTCGTCCTGAGCTCCCGTGGGCCTTGGGCCCAGGGAGCCACCTGCTGCAGGCAAGTTAGTTGCCCAAAATTTGGGGAACGTTTTGTCTTCCATTAGAAAGCGGCTGGTCTGCAGGCTAATAGGCAGACGTCTGAAGTACAAAAGGCCCCATTCGATGGTCACCGGTCACGTCCCCCCACGGTCGTCACCGCCCCATGCCTTCACCACCCCTCGTGAGCGGGATAGCGTCCAGCGTCCTCAGTTACAGGGGGACAGCAGGGGGCCTCGTGGCCAGAGGTGGAGGATCCTTGTGTGCGGCCACGGCAGGGTGGCGCTCTGGAAAGTGGGTACGGGGCCCCAGGAGAACATCATAAAGCCCTTCTAGCTCTGCAGACCAGAAACGCAGCCATGACACCCCACATTCCTCATGAGGCCTTGCCCATTTCCGTCCCTGCTCCCTGTCTCTCAGGACATGAAGGAGCTCCTGAGCAGGTACGTGGCCACCTGCGGGGTTGGCAGTGATGGGCGCAGGGAGGGCCTCCGCGTGGGGCCAGAGGGGACAGTGAGACCTGTGTCCACTGGAGGAAGAACAGCCTGAGTGTTCAGTACCCGGAGGCCACCCCTACCGTGCTGAGGACGGTCTGCAGGGTCCCCAGGCAGATAGAGGTGCTCAAGAGTTTTCAAGGTAAGCAGGGGCCCCGGTGCTCTCGGCTACTCCCCGCCCTGCCCCTAGTCACTCAGCGGGAGCCCCCAGTTGGGGCAACCGTTCCGTAATGGACAGCCACGCTCTGGGCCCTGAGCTTCTGCTCCAGGGCCATGCTCTCCATTCTGTCCCTATGGGGACACAAATGGAGATGCCCAAACGGCCCCCTGACCCCCATCTCCTCGGCGCCACTAATACGGACAGGTGGGGTAGGGACCCACGCAGGGACCCAGGCTCACCGCTGGACTCAGCCTTGGGGAGGCCTAGGGGATGGTCAGCGACGGCAGGGATGATCCGGCCCCCTTTTGCCATGGCCCCTGGCCTGTCTGCAGAGGATGTGGTGCCCGACCCCGCCACCGCATACCCCTACTTCCTCTTGTACGAGAGCCGCCAGAAGCGCCACCTGACTACTCCACTGGAGGGCGCGCCCCACGGCAAGGACAGATTCCTGGCCTACCCTAGCGCGGTGGGCCGGGAGACCTTCTCCTCGGGAAGGCACTACTGGGAGGTGGGCATGAACCTCACCGGTGACGCACTCTGGGCGCTGGGCGTGTGCAGGGACAACGTGAGCCGCAGGGACAGGGTCCCCAAGTCCCCTGAAAACGGGTTCTGGGTGGTGCAGCTGTGCAAGGAAAAGAAGTACCTGCCGGTCACATCTGCCCCGACCCCTGTCACGCTGGCCGAGCCCCCCAGCCACATAGGGGTCTTCCTGGACTTCGAGGCAGGGGACATGTCCTTCTACAACCTGAAGGATGGGTCCCACCTGCACACCTACACCCAGCCTGAACTCTCCGGCCCCCTGCAAACTTTCTTCTGCCTCGGGGCCCTCAAATCAGGCCAGATGGTCATCTCTACAGTGACCTTGTGGGTGAAGGGATAGGGGTAGAGGCTGGGGCAGTGAGGGTGGCCCTGGTTTCACGGGAAGGTGAGGTGGCCCAGCTCAGCGCAGGCCACCTGCCAGGCTTACCTCTGGCGGTTTCACAAAGATGAAATATAATCCCGATTAAAGCAGTTAAATGTTAAGAGAGTATATTCACACGTGTTTCATAAAGGAAACTCTGAAAAGCCGCTGAGTTTCCTAGTGGATCGATTCTGAGTAAGGACATCCAGTACCAGGCGCGGTGTGGCGTGTTTGCCTTTAAAAGCTGTCCCTGGGATACCCGCGCCCACCTAGGGATGGAGCCCGCGCACTGGCTCTGCTGTCCTTCGGGTTATTCTACGTAGAGCCGCGACTTCCAGGGTCCACCTGCTGTGTCTTCCATACATTCCATGTTTGCACCTTGCGCGGGTGTGTGTGTGTGTGGGGGGGGTGATGGGAAAATGAAACTTTCCACACTGATCCCTATAAACCTCAAGGGAGTTTAAGCTGCACAAGCCGGGGCGCAATTCAGAGTAGGGGTCATGGGTGGGAGAGACTCCTCTCCACCCGCCGTCCTCTGCAGTTTCAGGCGCACTCACAAGCCTGCGGCCGGCCGGGCACCCGAATCCCACTCAGTGTACGCCCTCCCTCCCCAACCAGCCCAGAGTCTCCGCAGGCCGAGCCCCTCCCTCCACGCGTCCCGATCGTGCCCGGCCCAGGGGCGCACTGGGCACGGCTTGGGGCTCGCCGCCGCAGCCTCAGGCCCCCCTCGTCCTCGCAGTCGCTGTGCTGAGCGGGGAACCCGGTGAACGTGCGGGGCGCCCCGATGGCCCGGGTCCTGCAACTGGTTCGGACGCGAGGGAGCAGTGACCTGGAGCTACCAGCGCGCGCGCAGGCAGCGGCAGCGCCGCCGCGAGGTCACCGGGTGAACAGCCTCCAATTCTGTCCGGCCCGCGGGCCGCGTGACAGGCCGCAGCCAATCCGAGGCTAAAGCGGGTTGTTCCAAAGGAGGAAAAAAAAAAAAAACCAGCTGCTTCCTGCTTCCGCCGCGGCTCCTCTTCCTGTCCGCGTCGGGGAGCCCTGCGCCCCGCGTCCGCGGAGCCCTGAGTGCCGCGACCCCCGGTGCCCTGCGCCTCGCGTCCCCGGAGCCCTGAGTCCCGAGTCCCCCGGTGCCCTGAACCTCGTGACCTCAGGTGGCCTGAACCCCGCGTCCCCCGGAACCCCCCCTTGCCCCGCGCCCTGCGCCCTGCGCCACGCGTCTCCGGAGCCCTCGCGTCCCCGCGCGCTCTCCAGAGTCCCGGCGGCGGAGGCCACCGCCCGACCCGGCGGAGAGCGCCGCCTTCCTCCGCCCCAGCGGCGCCATGGCCGCCCCCGACCTGTCCACCAACCTCCAGGAGGAGGCCACCTGCGCCATCTGCCTCGACTACTTCACGGACCCGGTGATGACCGACTGCGGCCACAACTTCTGCCGCGAGTGCATCCGGCGCTGCTGGGGCCAGCCCGAGGGCCCGTACGCCTGCCCCGAGTGCCGCGAGCTGTCCCCGCAGAGGAACCTGCGGCCCAACCGCCCGCTCGCCAAGATGGCCGAGATGGCGCGGCGCCTGCACCCGCCGTCGCCCGTCCCGCAGGGCGTGTGCGCCGCGCACCGCGAGCCGCTGGCCGCCTTCTGCGGCGACGAGCTGCGCCTGCTGTGCGCGGCCTGCGAGCGCTCGGGGGAGCACTGGACGCACCGCGTGCGCCCGCTGCAGGACGCGGCCGACGACCTCAAGGTGCGGGGCGGGGCCTGGCCGGAGGCCCGGGGCGGGGGGGGGCGGTGTACAGAGGGTGTGCGTGCAGCCAGTCCCAAACCCGCACCCTCCTGGGACTGGGCCACCAGCCCGGAGATCAGGGAGAGGCGCGCTCTGGGAGGCGCAGGCCCTGCTAGGACTTCACATGGTGGGAGTCTGGAGGGACCGGGCAGGTGTGACTGACCACTGGCAGGGATGGAGCTCAGAGCAGGAGAAAGCAGGAGGAGAACCTTAGAGGTAACTGGTCTCGTAGGGAGGTAGACAGACCAGGCCTCAGCCCTCAGAGGGTTGTGGGCAAGGCTGGGCTGTGGGAAGTCAGCCAGGCCAGGATGGGTGGAGGACGGAGCCATTGCCCTGGGGGTCAGGGGCCAGGGTTGCTGCAGCCACCAGGCTTGGGGCCACTTCTGCCATCCGACATGCCAGGGATCAGCCCCGCTTTGACTCTAGGCTGAGATGCCTCCATCTGTTCAGGAAATGCATTTCTTTAAAATCCAAACCCACCCTCACCCCACTGCCGAGAGCCTCGGGGCAAACACTGCCCTGGTCGCTAGCCTCTGCATTGCTCACCGGACCTCGGGACTCCTGGAACCGAGGTATGGAGTGCCTGGGTGGCACCCTTCTAGCTTTGTGAATGTGGTTTGCATTTGCTTCCTGGCCAGGAGCCTGTGTGTGCTGGGGTGCACCAGGGACATGGTTTGGCAATTGAGTCAATGCTTGGCCACTTTGTCGCTGTTACAGAACAAGTTCTGGGACACAGAACAAACTGGTACCCGATCTGCATCAATGGACTCGTTGTGACAGATCTCATAGTCTTGCTTCTGACTCCAGGGCACAACACACGTGCGGGATACCCCACCCTCTGTGTTAGCCCAGCAAGTGCGCACTCCTGTCGCTGAGCGGAAAGTTATCATGAGGGCAGAGAGTGACCAGCAGCTCTCCAGAGGCACCCCCCAGCTGGCCCCATACAGACCCTTGGGGCAGCACTTACCCTTCCTATTGTAGGGGGGGACACACCCTTTTTCTCTAACCTGTTAGGTTTGCTGCACGAGGCTTGCAAATTAAAGGCAGAGTAACAAGTGAGAAGATGTACAGTTTTATGTTCGTCTTTTCAATCTCATAGATACAAGGGGCTTCACAGAGGAGAAGTGAAAGACCCAGTTGGACTGCGTTTATGTTCCATTTTAACATCGAATAATACACTGGGGAGCAGGGGCTAGAGAAAGGAAAGGGATTTGGGCTTCTAGCACCAGGAAGACCTAAGGCCTGGGGTTGGGGGGGAACTGATGGAAGATCAGGGCTATCTGAGTAGCAGAGTCACCTGTGCTGAGTGCTCTCCCCTTCCTGGTACAGACGGAGGCAGAAGGGAGGAGGGCAGAGGGCCCTTCCTATGACCGCTCCAAATCGTCCCTGTGTCAAAGGTGGCCTCCTCGGGGGTGGCACATTCCGACCCCCTTCATGGTGCTAGCGCCTAGCTGGTCTTCGTCCTGGGGATGCCCAGCAAACTGTCTTTACCTGCCCCCCCCCCCCCCGGGCGAGCTGCACCTGATATTCGCATACCCTGGGGTGCTGGGTCCCGAAAGCACCACCTCCCAGGCCTGGGTCCAGCCAGAGGACGGACAGAGCGTGTAGTCAGGCAGGGCTGCACTGGCTAGGGGCCTACAGAGAGCCCAGAGCAGGCGTGGAGAAGTAAGGGGGCTGGGATTAGGGGGAGGTCAGGAGCCGGAGTTCCGGCAAGGGGCCTGGGTGCCCCGGCTGGCTAATTTGAGGATGTCCGCGGGTCATGCGCAGGACTGTGGTTCCCGCCGGCCGACTTCGGGCTCTGCGGGCGTTGCCCGTTGGCGCGAGCAGGGACTGGGCCCGCGCAGCAACGGTCACTGTGGTCTCGCTTTCCCGCAGGGGAAGCTGGAGAAGTCCCTGGAGCATCTGCGGAAGCAAATGGAGGATGCACTGCTGTTCCAGGCGCAGGCTGAGGAGACCTGTGCCTTGTGGCAGGCAGGTGGCCCCGAGCCCGAGGTCGCGGGTGGGGAGTGGCCGGCACCTGAGCCCCCGCGGAGGGACACTGCGGCCCTCAGCGTCGCGCTGCCCAAGAGGAGGGAGCCCTGTCCCGGACCCTGCGTAAACCCCGCGTCAGGGGTGAGGTTGGGGCGGGCCGTGGGCCGGGGCGCGGGGAGCAGGTGGGGCAGGCCCTCAGCTGTGCTGTCCGCCCGCCCGCAGAAGATGGTGGAGAGCCAGCGGCAGAACGTGCTGGCGGAGTTCGAGCGGCTGCGCCGGCTGCTTGCGGAGGATGAGCGGCGTCTGCTGCGGAGGCTGGAGGACGAAGAGCTGGAGGTGCTGCCCCCGCTGCGGGACAGCGCGGCCCGCCTGGGGCAGCAGAGCGCCCAGCTGGCCCAGCTCATCGCTGAGCTGGAGGGGCGCTGCCAGCTGCCGGCGCTGGGGTTGCTGCAGGTGAGCCGCACCGCGCGCCTGCACGCGCGTTCCCGGGAAAGGCGGGGGCAGGCTCGCCAGGGCAGGTACCCCTCGTGTGACTGCAGCCGTGGTTGTGGACACAGATGCCGAACCCCGCCAGCATTTCGCGGGCCGCTCCTGGAGCCCGTTCGCGCTCGGGCGGGCCTGCGTGGCGGGTGGCATCCAGGGTCCATGGGTCACCAGGCTGGCTCCAAAGGTTCGGGTCCACTGTATGGAGAAGAAAGGCTGGCAGGTGCCCCGTCGGAGCCCTGCATCAGCCCCGTGTCGCCCGGAGGCTCTGCCTGGCTCCTGACCCCTGCCCCAGGAGGGCGTGAGGATGCTATGTGCGCAGCCCAGGGCACTTCCCACCGGGGGTGGCCCTCCTGAGTCCCAGGGCTGAGCGGACCTTCAGGGACCAGGCAGAGGCTCTTGACGGCCCTCCTGGGGTTTGACCTTGGTCCTTCCACCGCTGCTGAGACCTCGGGCGGTTTACGGCCTGGGAAACAGGAAGAACCCCAGGCGAGTGTCTGGCGGGGAGTGAGGGAGGTCGGCAGAAGTAGGCTGTGGTCACTGAGGTGGGGTCTGGGTGGCCAGCCAAGGAGGTCAGGGGAAATGAGTGGTGCTGGAGAAGCCAGAGGAAGTGGAGGTTCTGGAAAGAGGAGGGGTGGGCCCCGGAAGTGAGATGAGAACCTCAGGTCTGTATGAAACGTGATTTGGGGTGTCAGCTGAGATGTCCAGTGTGCGGGACATCTGCACTCTTGGATTTCATACTAAAAGTGACCACCTGTGCCCCCGCTGCCCCTCCCTGCTCCCATCTGCTCGCCACCGCCCCCTACCTGCTTCCCACTGCCCTCACCCCTACCTGCTCACCGCTCCTGACCTGGGGTCCTCGCCTGGGTGGGCTAGCTGCAGGGAAGAGTCCCCCTCACCCCTCTCCTCACCACCCCCCCAGCCTCAGGGCTTCCCCTTGCCTGTGC